TCAGGATGAAAAATCCTTTTTCTCCTTTGCAGAGTGCACTCTCGCCATGGAGCATGGTTCCGTTTCAGACCTTCCTCAGGCCGACCCTGAGGCAAAGTAACAGATCTTTCAAAAACAGAGGATTAATGGCTGAGTAATGAGATTGGGAGCCAGGGATGTAGCCCTAGTGCCGCTGCCTTCCTTGCAAGTGGAAGGTCCTGAGTTCGAACCCCAGTACCGCCCTCCCGCCACACACAAAAAATTAGATTGACAAAATATGGCTAAGACAGATCCGAATAAAGACTGGAAATTAAATTTTTTAAAACAGGATATAAGAGAACAGGAAAACTCAGATCTAAGTAATTCCAAAATAGGAAAATGAAGTATCAAATGCAAGCTATAGAATAATTAGTTGGAAAGTATTTTAAAAGTGACTTAGAATCATCACAGTAAAATACTGCAAGACTTGTTTGATCTCACAGCTAAAACCTTTAATTTTAAGATAATTTGAATTTAGAATCAGCCAAAATAAAAGCTGTTACCTTTGCTGCTAGGGAGTAACTGGGGTTAGAGCCAAGAAAGCCTAAGACAAATTCTTAGCCTAACCCAAGCCCTGCAGGCCCAAATCAGCTTTGGCGGGATTTACACACGTGCCCAATGCGCCCTCTAGTGGCCACAGGAGAGACGCATTTTCCTTGTTAAGCACAAATCTGCTCTCATTTTTCTTGTCTCTCCTTACTTTCAGTGAATAGAAAATCATGCTACATAGCAAGATTGTGTGGAAAGACCTGCTTTCCTAGACATACCCAAATAAGACGAAGCAACTTGTGAAATGGTCAAGGTGAAGAGACACTGATTAAACGTGAGGAAAAGTCTCAAGAAGCATTAAAAATAGACCAAAAATTTAGAGCTCTCAACACAAAAAGCTGATTATATGAAAAAAGCAAGGTGTACTGGTTCAGCTTAAATCTAAACTTTCATAAGTTTAAATGCATGCTTCTAAGGGGAAGAACAAGAACACAATATCATGTCTTTCCTTTTCAGAAATCTGCAGCGACGATCACCCCAAGAAGCCCACGGCCAGCCGTGAAAGGGTTTTTCTGAGAGTCCGTGCAGCATGCACTCAGGCCTAACATTCACTTGAATGGGTGTCACTCACTCGGCACCCTCCATTTGGGTTATAAACATGTCGTTTATAAAGCGACTGGGGCCGAAGGCTGTCATGCTTATTCCAGTACGACACGCTGTGTGCTTAGCTTTTCTGAACGTAAAAATTTATTGGGAACAGCAGTTATATGCATTAAGTATTGTGAAATCACTTGGCCAATTCCAAAGTGTTGTATAAATGTGTGACAGTAATTGTGTGGTAGTATTTAGAAGGAAACAGGAGAAATTGATTCAGTTCAGACTTACATCCTTCGTGTATAGTTTATTCTCCCCAAATATCAATTTTTTTCCCCATAGTCCATCAGTTCCGTTTCAGATACCATAAATCCTTGGTAAAGGGAAGGGGGCCCGAAGATGGAGGAGCGGGGAGAAAGAAGGGGAGAAAGAGATACAAAAACAGCGATGACGTGTTATGTACATGTTCCAACTCTCCACAATGAACGCATTTATTACATACTTCAGACACGTGCTAATAAAAAGATTTTTAAAGAAACTGGAAAATAAATATCTTCATTAAATAAACCTGACACTGGGGCCACAAGACCTTTCTGCTTTTGTTAATCAAAACAATCAATGGAACTCTCGCAAAACAAATCGCACTGACAGTTCCAGTATCACATGAGGTCATTCCTATGACCTTACAGTAAAGCAATTCAGTCACAGTGAACACCAAACAAATCACTGGAAATGTTTTGCTCTTAATGATGGAAGACAGAAAGAAGATGAAAGTTATTCCTGGTGGAAGTCACTTCAAAATATTTCACGAAGCTTGTGTCCTATTTTTTTTTTCTCTTCCTATCAGTGGGAAACAAGGCATCATTCAAAATTACGCCTTCTCTTAAGGACCAAACCTACTCTTTGATTCAAAGTAGCTTGAATCTATAGAACTGAGACTGAAGCTTTCCAAAAGCATTTAGCCTTATTTATCAACATTTCTTCAGAAATTTTATTATTTGCAGCATGTAATTAATTTTAGCACACTCTTCTTGAAAAGGGGTACATTTTCTTTCTCTACATACGCTGTACAACCCAGTTTACATGAAACAATGGATTATTTACTTGTTAAAAAGATAAGGTAGTAAATAAAGGATAGACCAGTGAACCCAAGTGGAAGGTCTGTCTGCCGAGCTATGATTGTAGCTGTTGGAGAACAGCTTGGAAGTTTCAGAAAATGTCCCAGAAATGTGGGTAGGCTCTGCTCAGAAGATGAAGCGCCCCAGCTTGCTCCTTGGCAGCCACTGCTCCACCACAACGTGGCACAGAGCTCAGTACTTGGAAAATATTTCATTCTGTGCAGCTTCCCCTGGACTTATGGACTCGCAAACGTACACCCTGGAGTTCTGCCCTCATCTCTGAGTCTGCGACGCTACGCTTAGATTCTCTATCCTTTCACGAACACGGCTCTCACAGAGCAGTAAGGGACACTCCCGTGGTCTGGCTTGTTCAGTGGGAACGCCCCGGAAGGGCTTCCTGGGCCCGCCCCTTTCCTCATTCTTGCTTCCTGTCCGCTGGAAGCTCTGCCCCCATGGTTTCCTCAACCACCATGGTTTCCTCAGCTTCCACCTTGAGGTATGGCCTCTTCACAGGCCCAGCGCCTCGGGGCTGAGCGGGATGGACTTTCCCCTTTCTCACAAGCTGTGTCTCTGGTATTTTGCCACAATGATGAAAGCTGACACACTGGACTGTCACTTTTCCCTTCCCCAGAGGCATCTGGTGAGTAATCACTACCTAATCTCCTTGTCTGCCCCAACAATGGAGGTATCCTGTGTAGGGGAGAAAACCCACCCAGACTGCTTTGCTGTTGCTGGATCTTTCCAGATGTGGATTATATCTATAACCCTCCATGTTGAAATCATTGCAGACTTTAAAAATTCTCAAGAATATGTAGTAGTAGGAACGCATATGTCCTTCATCCTACCACGTCATCATTTTACCACATTTAAATAAATTACCACTCTGTAGATGGAAGATGGGTAAAGAGAGAAATCGACTTTTTCTGAACAATTTGGGATAAGTTGAACATGACTGGGAATATATCAAAATTCTTGAAAACGCGATTGCTTCTGTATTTCCTTTTACAGTAACTTGGTTGTAAGGAAATACTTAGAGATATGAGAACGCTCGTTCTAAGAGTGGTAATCAGTGTTTTTTTTACACTGAAAAACTAGAAATGACCTACATAATAAGGGTTGCCCAGAGCAAAAAGTATAGTGTGTCCTCATCAGTGTCCCTGTGACCACTAAGACAGGGTTTAAAGTCCTCTGGAATGCATCATTTGTCACTGCTAGGATTCCTTGGGTCCTGTCCCCTTCAGAAAGAAATGATCACCCAAGGTCCCTCAAGCTTGATGAATATTGGCTTCTTTGAAAATGAAATCAATATTCACTGCTCAGGGCCTCTGAGGTTCAAACAAGGGAGCAGAGTCCTCCATGGGCTGCTGACTCCTGCCTGGGGGACCTGATCCGAGGTAGCCACAGGGTTTCTGTGACGAGGGTCAGTGGGGAGAGGAGGCCCGACTGCTGTTCAGTAGGCGAGCAAACAACTGGACTATAACCAAAATTCCAGTGTTCCCAACAGATAACCCACAGAATTTCAGATAAAGAGTTAATGCCACAAAGCCATGCATAGTAATGAGAATTCCTTCTCTGGGAGAAAAGTTCTTTCTTCTCAGTAACATCAGTGGAAAAACAGGCTTCCCTCTGGCTGGTTCCACAAATACAAGCTTTCAAAGCTTTTCACCCTTTTCTAGTTGATGTGTTTACCTTCTCTACCAAGAACAATGAAAATAAATATTAATTTCCAGTGGAAATCATTTGACCTTGCCATCTTGGATGTAGAAATTCTTAAGTAAAAATAAAGATGAAATTTCAAATATGTCGTGTGTGGCAGGTTAGTATTTCTCATACAGGAACTTGAAAGGAAAATCATAGAATCTGATATAGCACTTATACAATAAAAAGAAATGAAGTTAAATGTAAAATACATCTCATAAATGTTTCAAACATTTCATCAAATGTACAAATTCTCTCGAGAAGGAAACACTCCAGAGCATAACATTTATTAAAGGGCAATACAGTTTATGTTGAGGACAGTGGGGACAGAAAAGGCTTAAAAGAAGAACAAAATGCAACATTGTCAATTGATTTTATTGACAACATTATCATGCAACTGCTCACTTCTTTAAGGAGCACATAAGGTACTAGACAAAAATTAAATTGTGTTTAGTTTACTAATATGATCCAAATAGATTTAGCTTAAGAAATGAGGATAGGATATAAAACAAGATGTGGCTGAACTCTGCAAAGAACCAAAAGAGGGACAAAAGTTTCAGTGGGTGGCAATTTTATATTCAAAGTTATTCTACTAGCTAATATAAAAATCAATCTGCAGTGGGAAGCAAGACTCCGAGTGGGTTGGTCCGCACAGGTGTGAAAACCCAGGGCAGTCGGTGAGGAGACGCTGGCTTCCCACCTTCCCGACCAGGCCCCACCATCTGCCGTGGTGGTCTTTCTCCTCTCCAATCAGCGACTGGCATTTCCCCATTTCTCATAACCTCTCCCTTTTTAGACAGTAACAAAGCTTCAGAAACAAACATAACTGGCCAGTACTGAGCCAGTTGGGTAGAAGTACTTCGAAATAGGCGTGGTAGTCTGAGTTACAAACGGACTCCGATAATCCAGGAGGAGAGGATGGGGTATCACTAAAAACACCGAAGTGGGAGGTCCTTGGGCTCTTCACCGCAAAGAGCAGCCTGATGTCTGTGGGAAGGAAGGGGAGGGGAGGAAAGCAGTGTACAAAATGAAGTCTCCATGCTCTTCAGACCTAGTGTAGGCACAGTCTTTGATCTGTACTTGAAATGACAGATTCAGATCACAGAAAATATGGTCACCAAGTGCAACAGAATTGTGGTCAGAAGCACGTGGGTCCCAGCATGCTGCTGAGCAGCAGCAGAAAACACAGGAGCAGCTGGGGAGAGAGATTTCTGTGTGGAGCAGAGGAAGAAGGCATTCTGCACACCACAGGCTCTGCTCTGTACGGCCTTTCTACATCTGGAGGCGAGGCTATCATTCCTTGGATCTGTAAAGAAAGGACAGAAGATGCGAGTGAGTATGTGATTTAAGATCAGGACTGGGGGGGTCCACCTCCATGTCTGCAAGAAATCAAGACAACAGGGACAGCAGCTGAGGGAATCAAGTGTCAGGAGAAAAGGAGAGGCAGGGTTGTGAGGGAGGTAGAATGGAAAAGAAGAGCAACAACGCTGGCTCCAGGGCTTTATTTTTAAGCTCTCATCTCATCCTCTTCCTACTCCATCATGTCTTTGGCTTGAGGATAAATTTCCTTCCTCAAGGGGAGCTTTCAGGAATCACTTCTTAGTCACCTCAAATAATCACCGAACAAATAAATGATCAGTGCTGCAGCTTGAATCTAGATTCATGTGGTCATGGGTGGGGCTTTAGGGAGGTTGCTGGATCTAGGGTGTGTGACACTGAATTAAGGGTGTGACATTAGGAGTAAGGCTGCCCCACCCTAGGTATGAGTGGTGTTTGCTGAAAGGGTGGATGGCCTGGGTAGAATATAAGATAGAAAAGGAGCTGCCTGTGGCTGATTTCTGCTTGCTTCACTACCTTCTGCCTGCCCTGCCAAGCCATGGACTGTTTTTCCTCTGCCTTGGAGCCAGCTGACTATGGACTAAAATCACTACAAACTGTGAGCTAAAAATAAACCTTTCTTCCTTTGACTATGAATATTTGGGTGTTTTGTCTCAGCAATGAGAAAAGTACTTAAGACAATCAGGCATATCAAAACATGACCAGACCACTGGATTTACAGATGTATGTCTGAGCCTTAGATTTTCCTGCTGCAGATTCAGCTGAAACAGTATATCTAGGATCTCAGAGGTTAAAAGAAAGTACGGCTTACCGACCACTCTGCATTGTCTATCTTGGAACATCTCACATTCACCGGCAGGCTCAGGACAAGCTTATTGAATGCGAGCCCTTCCTTTTTAGTCCATTTAAACTTATTCATTGCATCCATGAAAGAAAGGTTTTTATACTGCTTGGGGCTTTTGATAATGAAAGGCCATGTCCTACAATTAAATAACCACAATTATATTCAGAACAAAAACATGACATTTCTTTTGCTTTAACCATTCTAAAGTAGACTTCATACTTAAGTCATTTTTCACACAGATAACCCTACGTAAAGTATTTATGAACTCACTAGTGCTCACGAGAAAAAAAATGCACCAAATGAGAAGTCTTAAAGAATGATCCTGTCCTATCCTTCCCCACCCTCCCCTTTCCTCCTTCTTTTCCTCCCTTCCTCCCTCCCTCCTCCCTCTCTCCCTCCCTCCCTTCCTTCCTTCATTCCTGTGCGGTAATAGGAACTGAAATCCGGGGTGCTTTACCAATGAATTACATTCCTAGCCCCAGGTTTTACACTTTTATTTTGAGACAAGGTCTTTCTTAGTTGTCTGGGCTGGCCTTGAACTTGCAGTCCTACCTCAGCCTCCTATAATGCTGGGGTTACTCTTATTTTAGTAGCATCTGGGTATTATTTTTAACAAAAAAAAAAATTGGGCCTTAAAAAGCTTTCCCAGAGCCTCACAATTCTAGTTAACAATATAAGTGAGAAGCATTCGTTTCTGAAGCATCTGACCGTAGTGATCTAACATGGAAACCTGTAGGTTTTTGAGAGATGCTATGGTGAGTGTAAAACTCAAGTAAATCCACTGGAAAAGCCTGACCCCTGCTGCCTGGGTGAGCAGATAAACACAAAAGATTGGAGTTTGAGTCTGTGGTTTAAAAACATTTAAAAAAGACCACATCCAATATACTCTTCTCCCACCTGCCACATGTTAAGGTCCAGGGAGGAGAGAAGAAATCACAGAAAAATGACACAACTGACTTGAAAGGCAACTCTTCAGATGACATCTTTCATTAAAAGTTTTGTATCATTTCATTTTGGGAAAAGGAAAAGTGCGCATCAAATAAATTAACATTAACCAATCCATGAATGTTACGGGGAATTATTTCTGCCGACCAGTGGGTGTTCGGTTCCATGAAACCCTGACAAGGTGTTCTGCAATTCTCCTAGTTACAGAATAATTATCCATCTGCTGAAGAATCAACATTTTAAATACTCTATCTTCACAGTTTCTTCATTGTTTTCTGTCATCACTCTCTCTTATATGCATAATCTACTCAGGCACAATGAATATTTTGTGTTGAAGTAAATTAGACCCACTTCATTAACTTTTTATAATAATGAAGATACATTTTTACTATCAAGCTTGAAAATCATTTCTTCTATACTCTCACAAGTGAGAAAAGCAGGGTAATATATGAAAATTTTTAGAGTCCTCAATCTTAATTTCATTTTTTACTTCAGTAAAAGTCATTATGCCATTGTGAGCTTTATTCAGTTTTTGGCTTTTTTGAGACAGGGTCTTGCTTGTGGTTCAGGCTGGCCTTGAACTCACTGTTCAGCCTACGTTGGACCTGAACTGTGATGATCTGCCTGCCTCAGCCTCCTGAGTGCTCGGATTACAGGGATGTGCCACCTCACCCACTTTCAATTGTTGAGTTTTAAATTCATTACTTTATACAGGTATCTTAAAGTTAAGTATCATAAATTAAGAACTTCCAACATCAGCATCACACAGCATTAAACACACTATACCTACTACCAAGGGCCTAAAATCTATAGCAGTCATTAATCAAATTGTGGAGACATGTAGAGACATAATCTAGGATTGTTATAAAATAAAGACGTGAAAGAAGCCTATTAAATTTGCAGTGTCCTTTCAAATGCACTAACAGCTACAGCTACTTTCATTTAATATAAAATGGCTTTACATAAAATACTTAAAAATATTTTATATTTTTAAAATTTATAATTATTTAGTATTTCAAACACTGCATTGATATTTTCATATATCATACATTCAAAAGGATAAGGCACCTATTTCGAAAAGAAAACTGCTGGGGGCTGTTGGGCAACCTCTCCATCTGCAATTACCCGAACCACCACAAGGTGGCGCGTGGATCGCAAGTGCCGTGTCCAGGTGGGAACACTTGAGTATTATTAATATGCAGCTCCCAGGAGAGAGTGAGCGAGCACTGGAGCCATTGTACATAGGTAAAGGAACAAATACGTCTATTACTGGGGCCAGGGTTTGGGAATACTAGGACTGTTAGAAATACTAGGAATGTCATTAAAATTAAAACTTACACTTCTGCATAACTGTGCACTGTGTAAACGCCTACACAGATACACATGTAAACAAAAACAGGTTATTTATATAGCACTGTACAATGGTGCCTGGTCTCACTAAATTAATTCCATGATTCTGGCTGCAGACTGAACTGAACAAGAATCGAGTCAAATTCAATGGTTAGGTTCAATATGGACCTTATGGGGAAGAAATTTGATTTGGTTCTCACCCAATTCAGTTTGAGACCAGAATCCTAGAAAGAATTAAATTGGTGAATTGAGGTACTACTGTAGTTGAAAATAAAAACTGTGTTAGTGGCTCGATACTGGTGGGTAATTTTCCTTTGGAAATCCAATCTAAACTCTTGAGAGACATTTTCCTTTGAGAGTTGCAAAATTTCTCCATACACACTGGTATAGGATGTTTTAATTTTCCAGCAAAAACACAGCAACTCATATTTGTGAACTGATTTTGATCAATGAATTTTTTTAAGCTTAATGAGTTTTTTTTTTTAAATATCTGATGCTCCCACATAACTTGAAAGGCAGAGAGAGGAAGATAATCTGTGGTCACAGTTTTTACCTGAGCCTCTGAAAATCCCATGCCTATGTTTAAAGTTTTATTGCTAGAGTCCTTCTTGAGACTAGAGGGAGCAGGGAAGGGAGATGGAAGATCTGACAAGCAGCAGCAGCCAAGTACATTCAGCTAAATGAACAGCATCACAGATTCTCCCTCTACCAGGCCAACAGTCAAATGATCAAAAGTAGTAAAATAAAAAAAGAAAATCAATAACAAACATTTCTTCCTATGTTGGACTAACTGATACCAGTTTACTACAAGAAAAAAAATTAAAGTATTAGTTCTTGGCACTGGAAAACAGGCAGCGAAAGCAACAGAAAGTGATGATGCCCCAAAGAAAGCAAATAAGGTGTTCAAATGCTATGATTATCACAGGTTTCTGCTCAGCCACTTTCTGGACTGTTCTGGAGGAAGGTCTATTTCCACCTCCCTGGTATGACACTCACAATAAAGGGACAAATATCAGTGTTGAGGAAGTTGGAAGTCCTCGAATTTTTGAGGTAGAGCACTGCAGAGGGAAAAAGTCCACACAGACAGATAGTTCTTTTCAATATATAAATAAAGACCCCCTAAATCTGGGATGGAGTACTGAGCCAACTAAATTTGGGATGAAACTCCACAATGCTGAGCAAGGAATAACTGAGATTGTAAGCAAAACAATTTCCAGAACTCACAGAGAGCTGGCCGACGTTCACATCCAACAGGCCAGTGTGCAATACCTCTGCCAGTCTCGTGGGCAGCTAGCAGGGTGATTAGGATATTCAGGGCTTAGCGAGGAGGCTTCAAAAGGTCTAAACATCCTTCCAAACTCCAACTAAGGAGGAGTTTTAAATAAACTAGAACAGTCTAATACTGATTCGCATAAAGTCCATAATGTCCAGGATCTGTGTTTGGTCAAAACGTACCGAATACAAGGACACAGATATAAATGTGAGCCTCAGTGGGGGAAAGATTGGTGACTGCCCCGAAACCCAGAAATGATGGATCACAGAATTAGCAAGTGAAGATCTGAAAATGTAAGGAATACTAACAAAATATGTGTGAAGGCTATGAAACAGCTGAGAGAAAGGAAAGGACTTACATAAGCAAAGAACTATACCATGTTCATAGAGTAGAAGACAGTATTGTCATCAAAATTGATCAAGGGTTTTGCAAAATCCCATTCAAATCCCTGAAGATTTTAAAGACACTGATAAGTTAATTTAAATAGACATGTGAAAATGAAAAGGATTCAGACCATTACAATTATTTGGGAAGATGAAAAAGTTTAGTCTTACATATCCTTAGTTTATAACTTCCCGTAGAACAGTAGCAGGTAAGTGTGCTTGAAGGGAAACTCTGAAGCAGAATAGAGTCCAGAATCAAATAAATTTCTACAAATATTCAAAATAGCTCAAGAGTAAAAAGGTGGTTTTCTTTCTTGAGAAACTTGCTATTTAGAAACAAAAACAAAAACAAAAAAACCTTAGTTTTCCCTCAGAAAATGTGTTCCACGTGAAGTATCCACCTGAGCGCAAAAGTTAAAAGTATAAACTTTGTCAGAATGGACAAAAGAAGATCCGCTCCACAACTCTGTGTGGGCACTTGCACATGATAGTGAAAGCACAAAACAAACCAAAATATGATGAAATGGACTTCTAGTAACACCATCAAAACACGGAAATCAAAAATCATGTAGGTTAGCATCCAAAGTATAAAGAATCCTTAAAATACAAAGAACTATGATGGTTCAACATGAAGAAAACGAGTGACTGATGAAGCAATACACAAGAATGTGAATAAACAAAGAGAAGTAGGCTCTCACACACACGCGCATGACTGGGGAGAAGCTCCCGACTTGGACCCTGGAGCACCACTCGTAGCTCCCGAGATCAAGTGCAGGGGGCGCCAGGAACGGGGCACCACGGGGATGGAAGTGGCTCCGCCCCAGTCGCACCCCCCCCCGAGGTCTGCCCCTTCGAGACCCCCATAATGCAGCCCGCAGCAGTGACACGAAGAGGCGAGGCATTCAGGAGGAGGCCAGGGCACCAGGGCTGCACCCTTGGACTGGGACCAGTGTCCTCCTAAAAGATGCTCCAGGGAAACTTTCACCCCTTCCACCCTGTGAGGACGAGCAACTGGGCACCTTCTGGAGCAGAGCATGGACCCTCAGGCATCTTCAGTTTGGACTCTACCCACAGGAGGGTGAGCAGCAAATCGGCTATTTAGAGACGGTTCAGCTTGCGCTCCTGTGCAGCCCTTTTCTAGGTGGGCCTGTGGCTTGGGCAGGTGTGTCTGCACCCTCAAAAACT